AGAGGTATTCCGTGCCGAAAGGGCAAATCCCCTTTCTTGGAACCCTGCATGTTGAAACGCTTTAGGACAGTGTCTATGTATGTGGATTGGGATAGGCACAACTTTCTCTTCACTCGGTCGCGAATGACCTTGATTCCGAGAACATGTTCTACTTCAACCAAATCCTTCATATCAAACTGCTTGGATAACCATACCTTTACGTCTGACAACATCTTCACATTGTTCCCAATGAGAAGAATATCATCCACGTACAACACTAGAAACACCACCACGTTTCCATCACTTTTCTTGTACACACAGTGCTCATCCGGACATTGGGTAAATCCATACGATTGGATGACCTCGTCAAAACGGATGTTCCAAGACCTCGAAGCCTGCTTTAGCCCATAAATGGACCTCTTCAGCTTGCAGACCAGATGCACTTGGCCCTTTGCAATGAATCCTTCTAGTTGCTGCATATAGATGTCCTCGTCCAAATTCCCGTTAAGGAAAGCGGTCTTAACATCCATTTGAAAAATCTCATAATCCATATGAGCGGCCACAACCAAGAGAATCCTGATGGATTTGAGCATGGCTACCGGCGAAAAGGTTTCCTCATAATCGATCCCTTCTTTCTGAGTGTACCCTTTCGCAACAAGCCTAGCTTTGAAGGTCTCAACCTTCCCATCTGGTCCTCTCTTTCTCTTATAGACCCACTTGCATCCAATGGCGCGTACGCCACTGGGTGGCTCTGCAAGATCCCAGACCTGATTAGTGTTCATCGACTCTATTTCAGATTTCATCGCCTTTTGCCAAGACTCTGCGTCCTGATCTTGGATTGCCTCATTGTATGTCCATGGGTCGGTTTCAAGAACGTCTGGGACGGCCTCAGAAGACTCTCCCAGACCCATGAACCGTTCGGGTTGCCGGACAACCCCCCCACTACGACGAGGTACTACCTGCTCAGGTGCATCGTTAGCGATACGTGTTGCAGTACTTTGTGGTGTAACATCTAGCGCACTCGGTATGTAAGTACTCACTCCCTTTAACTCCTCAAGAGCATGTCTACTACTGGGCTTATGATCTAAGACATAGTCTTCTTCCAAGAACCTAGCATTCGTGCTAACGATTACTTTCTGGTCCTCGGGACTATAAAATAGACCACCTTTCGTTTCCTTAGGATATCCCACAAACAACCTTACTTCTGATCTCGGTTCCAACTTATCAGTATCGGTTCTCAGCACATGTGCTAGACTACCCCAAATCCTGAGATGCCTTAGACTAGGCTTATGCCCAGACCACAACTCCAATGGTGTAGACGGTGCTGATTTAGAAGGTACTCTATTCAGAATGTATACCGCTGTTTCTAGGGCATATCCCCAAAACGAATCTGGTAAACTACTATAACTCATCATTTCCCTAACCATTTCCATAAGAGTCTTGTTCCTCCGTTCTGCTACGCCATTCTGCTGAGGCATGCCAGGCGCAGTCAGTTAGGACGTAACCCCATTATCCGTCAAGTAGTTCCTAAATTCATTCGAGAGATATTCGCCACCACGATCAAATCGTAATGACTTGATACTTTTTCCTAAGTGCTTCTCCACAACTGCCTTATACTCTGAGAACTTCTCAAAGCATTCAGACTTGCGGTGCAGAAGGAAAATGTACCCATATCTCGAGTAATCATCAATAAACGTAACGAAGTACTCGAAACCACCTCTCGCTTGAATACTCATAGGACCACATAGATCGGAATGAACTAGCCCTAACACATCTTCGGCTCTATGCCCCTTTGAACTGAAAGCCCTCTTAGTCATTTTACCTTCCAGGCAAGACTCACAAGTTGGAAAAGCCTCGACTTCTAACGACTCCAAGGGCCCGTCTGCTACCAACCTTTGAATCCTCCTAAGGTTAATATGACCAAGTCTTAGATGCCAAAGATATGTTTCGTTCATTTTAGAAGGTTCCTTTCTCTTATTCAGATTAGATGATGAATTAAGTAATTGTTTCTGTTGCAGTGGAGATGACTTAGATTCTAGAATGTATAGATTGTCAACTAATGAACCAGAAGATATGAACTTTTTGCCAAAACGAATAACAACTTTATTATCAAACGTAGCGGAAAAACCGTTCATAAACAACTTAGAAACTGAAATCAAATTCTTTCTAAAACTGGGAACATAAAGAAAATCTTTCAAAACTAGAAACCTATCTAAGCCAAAATCTAAATAGACGTCTCCCACTGCAACTGCTGACGCTCTACTAGCATCGCCCAAGTAGATGGTAACCTCTCCTTCCCTAAGTCGCTTGGTTTCCTGGAACCCCTGCAATGAATTGCAGACATGATCACTGGCCCCCGTATCTACACACCAGGTACTGGTAGATAACACCGCTAAACATGTTTCAACGACTAAAGCAAAAGGAGTACCTTTTTCGGGTTTCTTGGGAAGAGGGCAGTTTGCCTTCCAGTGTCCTTTCTGCTGACAGTTGTAGCACTTGCCTTTCGACTTTCTTGCCTTTTGTCGAGGTTGTGCGTCACTCATGACTGCTTTGCCCTTTCCTGCGGACTTCTTCCTCTTCTTGCCCTTAGGAGCGTTAGAAGTGGAAGCTTCTCCCCGCAGGGCCACCATGGCTTGGGTCTTCTGACAAAACAGGCCCTCTGCCGCCTGAAGCTCAGCAACAAGTTCCGGAAGAGTCATCAACATCTTATTCATGTTGTAATTCAACCGGAATTGCTCGAAGCTCTTCGGCAAAGACTGGAGCACTATATCGACCTGGGTTTCCCCATCAATAAAAGCCCCAAGAACCTCCAGCTCATTCAACTGGGCCATCATGGCAAGAACATGTTCCCTTACGGGAGTGCCTCGCGCATGGTCATGTTCATCAAAACCCTCATAGCCCTTTGTCGGGCAGCCCGTGGCTGATGACCAAATAACTCCTTGAGATTGAGGAGCATATCCGCCGCAGTGTTCATAGACTGATGTTGATGTTGAAGTACATTTGACAATGATGCCAAGATGTAACACTTCGCCATCTCGTCAGCCTTTTTCCACCGAGCATACTCCTCTTTCTCTTGGTCTGGTGCATTGTCAGCAGGCACAGCCGGACAAGCCTCAACAGTAGCAAATTTATACCCTTAGGCAGTTAACACTATATCCAAGTTCCTTTTCCAGTCAATATAATTGGGACCAACAAGTTTGTTTTCTTTAAGAATTACGGACAACGGATTAAAAGACGTTTTGAATTCCTGGGATCATGTAAACATAGTATTTACTCAGTCAAGTAGTTTTGAATTTATACATCAAATATTGATCCCATTAAACAACATTTGAATAAAGTCACCAACACATCAAAACACCGAATCCCCGAAGGCCACGGAGTGTGGATGTCTACGATTCAAACATTCGCAAGAGGAGGGATAAATCTCATTAGCTTGACATACTGCCCAGCAATACTCAACTAATAGTCGGTTTCATCTTTTGGCCAGCGCAATTAACTTTTTAAAAGAATAATCTTTATAAAAGAATAAAAACGACCTTGTCCTTTGGGACTATCGTAATTATTTGCACTTTTAGCGTAACCCAATAATTGGTACTAAGTTTACTACAAAAATTATACGTCCACCTTTGGGTGACCCGTACGCTTTTGAAATAGCTCACTATAACCATCCTGAAGGAGATTCGTCCTTGTGAACTATGAAATAAAACGTCCTTTGGCTCGAATTAAATCACTTCACTGACAAACCTATGATGGAGGCCTTGGATGTAATTTATTTCAACCCATTACACACTTAATATAATTTTTATTTTATGGGATTTTCTTAACATGTTTGTATTTGCACATAAGTAATCACGTAAAACATGCATGATTAATGAGCAATAATAAACTAGGAACTATAATCCAACTGTCATGGCCATTAATCAATCTCCAATGTTACGGAGAAAACACAGTCATGTCCTTGTTGAGTGTGTCCTCCGTTTCAGGTATTGGAACTTCCTATTTCGCAGTGACTCCCACTGAATTGGTCGTCTCTGGGAAAGTCGCCATTGGATCATCACCATGGCATCCGTGTACGTGTTTGGCACTCCTTTCTACAAGCTCAAAGAGATGATTAAAAACACCAGGAAGGCCTTGTTAATTTGGAGTGCTAACTTTAAAACACAGAACCAGTCTCAAACTGACAGCCTTACAAAGAAGTTAGAAGCCCTTCAAGAAGAAAGAATTAATGAAAATTGGGATGCTTGGAACTCCACAAGAAAAGAGCTGAAAAAGGCTCATAAAATGGAGGAGATTTTTTGGCAACAGAAGGCTAGAATCCATTGGCTCAAAGAGGGAAACCAGAATATCAGATTCTTCCACGCTTATACACTTTCCAGAAGAAAACAAAATGCAATAACAAGGCTGCTCACACACACAAACAGAGAATGCATTACAACTCAGCAGATTCAAGCCCACATTGCTGATTTCTATTCCACCTTATTTTCATCAGAAGGATAATGGAGAGGAGACTCAATGTTGCACCTGATCAAACCCTCAATTACCACGGAGGAGAATCAGGCATTGCTCAAGCGGGTGGATGAGGAAGAGATTAGAACAACATTCTTCAGTCTAAATCCAGAAAAAGCTCCGAGAAAAGACGGTATGACGGCTTTATTTTATCAAAAATTTTGGGACATCATTAAAGTTGATCTCATAGAAGCAGTGTCCAGTCTTTTTTAATGAAAATGGTTCCTTGCTTAAATATTGGAATCATACTGTCTTAACTAATTCCCAAAACTTCAAATCCAGAAACTCTTTCGCAATTCAGGCTAAATAGCCTCTGCACAGTTGTGTACAAAATTCTTTCAAAAATATTGGCTCCGAAATTACAATCTTGTTTGGGCTCTTGCATCAGTCTGTCTCAATCTGCATTTATCAAAGGCGGAAAAATATTTGACAATATCATTATAGGGCAAGAGGCTTTTCATTTCCTGAACAGACATTCATCTAGGAAAAATCATTTTATGGCTTTAAAACTAGACTTGGTCAAGGCATTTGATCGAGTTGAATGGCTTTGTATAAAGAAAATAATGTTGCAAATAGGATTTCAGCGGGAGTTTGTGCATCTTATTATGGTCTATATTTCTTCCAGCACATTTTCTTTCAAAGTAAATAGAGAAGTGAGTAGATATGTAACCCCTACAAGTGGAATACGACAAGGAGATCCATTTTCCCCATATCTATTCATAATAGTAGCTGAAATGCTCTCTGCTAATTACTAATGTTGTTGAAACATGAGATCTGATTGGATTGAAGATATCAAAGAATGGTCCAGTTATCTCTCATCTGCTTTTTGCAGACGACTCACTTTTCTTTTGCAAAGCCAGTAATGATCAAGCAATCACTCTTCTCAATCTCCTGGACAGATACAGACTCTTTACAGGACAAAAAGTCAATATGCAGAAGTCAACAAATTTTTTCAGTAGAAATACACCTGCTTACTTGCAAGAGAGAATTTGCCAAACTCTGCAAGGCATCACTGCACGCAAGTCTACAAGGTACCTTAGGCCCTAGGAATTAGTAAATCCAAAAGGGAAGCCTTTTTCAATTTGTTTTAGATTTAGTTAAATCAAGACATCACAATTGGAAATCTAAGCTACTAGCGGAGTTACGGTGAAGGCTGATCTATATGCCTTACCCCTGGTTGGACCAGATGTAGTGCTGGGCGTCCAATGGCTCGAAGGACTGGGCAAGGTAACGACCGACTATCGAACAGGAATTATGGAGTTCAACTCCGAAGGTCGTCAGGTCATCCTTAGCACCAGCACTGACAAGGAAGCTAAGGAAGTAGGGTTGAAGAGCATCGAGAAAGTTTGGCGTGGTGGAGGCCAAATCTTTGCCGTAGTAGTCGAAGATGTGGGAGCGCACTCGAGCAAG